GGGGGGTACTCCCTTATATGGCCTATATAGGTTATGTGCGGCCCCAAAGGGTAGGGTTTTTTTAAACCATTTTGGGCATAAATAGGGTATCGATTTTAGCCATTTTGGTCTTAAATAGGGTATGGTTTTAGCACTCTAGTCTTGAATTGAGTATGTTTCTTAGAGGAACAAAAGACCTTCATAACTTATGTTTAGGGCAACTGTGTCAGCCCCAACGGTCATAAACAGGGTATCAAATTTTTGGCCAGGTCATAAATAGGGTAGCAAAAATCGCAGATGTTGGTCATAAATAGGGTAAGGGTTTTGAGAAGTGGGCCACACACCCCAACCCAACTTTTCTGGGAGCATTCCCCCGCCCAGGGAATCAAAACAAGGCTTCATTTCTTTAACACAATTAAAGCTAATTTAGCCACCGTGAAAGCGATGCCAACTAGTTTCCAGTGTTTAAAAAAATGTTTCCAAACAACGGAAAGTAAGTAAAAGATAATTGTCATGCACACGCAAGGGACGAGATTGTTGTTTGTATGTTTCCATAAACAACTAACTTTATGTATTTTATAACCTAATTTTGTTCTGTCTCTGTGTGATGAGCTTGTCAAAGATTAATTGCGCCAAAACTAGCATTCATCTTCATACAGATTCTCATCACTGGTATCCACATTTCCTTCTTTGTACAAGTGAGGAGAATTTTATTTTCCATCACAACAATTTGTCCTCTGTAATCTTAAACTCAAGTCTTGTGACCAGCAAGAGTAATAATACATAATAATGATGATGATAATAATAATAATAATAATAATAATAATTATCAGTTGATCATAAAAATTACAATTTCCAAGAAAAGAAGAATAGCCAAGTTATGAAAGAAAGGGAAAATTTGCAGTAAAATACCTACAAAGGAGATGTAAACATTCTAAGGCCATCGCACCTCCTACTGGCAATTAGGCACCAAAAACACAATAGCGCATGCACGCACGCACGTAACTACACCTTTGAATGTGATTGGTTGATTTAAACTACAACTTTGAATGTGATTGGCTTATTGAACTGTCCGATAACAAACTGTCCAATAATGAACTGTCCAATAATGAACTGTCCGATAACAACTTGGCAAGTCAATTAGTGGAAAATAGGAGTTTTTAAGACCAATCACAATCGAGGAAATTGTAATTTTTGAGATTATAATAGTAATAACAATAATAATAATAATAATTGTGGACAGTAGGAAAGGCTAATTGTGTTGAGTCTAACCTGGGCTTGATTATAAATAAAATATAGATTTATTATCACTCTCTGCAACCTGTTTTGGGGAAAAATTGTGTAGACAGTAGGAAAGGCTAAATTGTGTTGAGTCTAATCTGGGCTTGATATCAGACCTTCTGGAAGGAATGTGCAGTTCCAGAAAATATCCATACTCCCTCTACAGAAGAGATTAGAATTTTGTTGGGGGGGTGGGGGGTCTTCTCGCAGACCAAAAGTATTTTAAGAAAAAAATCTCTTTTGTGCGGGGGGTATGGATAATTTCTGAAACTACACAATGTGAATAAAGGAAGAAGAAATCAAGTACAAGTCTAATCTTTCCTGGCACATCAGTGAGTTTTGCTCTTTCACTATTATCTGAGAATTTATGTCAAGAGCAGGTTGCCTCTATCTCAATGAGAAATATGGCCTTACGTTCTAATTCACTACGTTCAAACAAACGTAAATTATTTACCACTTAAATATCTGCAAAACAAGTACAACGAAGCATGGGTGGATCGCATGGTTGCCTCTATCTCAATGAGAAATATGACCTTTCTTACTTTTTAACACTTGGTGGAGATTAGCATAAATTGAACCTAACTATTGGGCCCTGGGGAGGGAGGGGGTACTCCCAGAAAAATTAAAAACCGGGTGGGGGTGTACGGCCCGCTTCCCAAAACCCTTACCCAATTTATGACCAAAATCTGTGATATTCCCTACCCTGTTTATGACCTGACCAATAATTCGAAACCCTGTTTATGACCTGACCCTTAAATCAAATTCCTGTTTCAGACCTGCATTATAATTAGTTCCCTAGTTCAGACCAATGTTAAACTACTGTAAACATAATTTGTGAAGGGTTTTTGTTGATTTTCTTTTTGATAAAAAGTGGCTTCTTCTTAAAAACATACCCATATCAAGGCTAGAGTGCAAAAATCATACCCTATTTATGACTAAAATGCCCAAAATCAGCTAAAATTGATACCCTACTTATGACCAAAATGGCTGAAAAATCATACCTTTTGGGGCCGCACATACCTATATAGTCCATATAAGGGAGTACCACCCCCCCCCCCTAGGCTATTGGGTAGCAGTAGTGGTGATTCGTATTTCAAATAAAATGCTTTCCCTGTTACACTGTAATTAGAAATGACAAGAAAAAATTGAAATGTAAACCAACCCTTTTTACAATAGAGATGAGAAATCCATGTGGAGAAAGTCCAGCATCTCCATGGAAGATGAAGCATAGATAGAACATGCCTCTAGATGAACTATATGTACCATTTCAAATTTATTAATACCATTTTGACATTTAGCATGTCCTGGATACGGTAAAACCCCCACATATAGCAACATAATCACCACTCTTTATAGTAAAGAATCACTCATTTTGCTTTGTTAATAAACCATGAAAAGATTAATCATGGATTATCATACTTTAGTCAAATGAAAAGAAGATCATAAAAAACTTGCTGACCTGTGTACTTTCTGTGATCCTGGCAGTCCACTAGGTCATTCCCATACTGTAGGTTGCTAAAGCAATTGACTTCATGACAAAGAACACTGCTATAGAGTTCTACAGGTGTGTGACATTGGTGCTTCTAAGTCTTCTACGGCAGCCACTGTCCTATATCTTCATTCCAATGAACACTACCCTCAAGGAGATATTCTTGGTAGTGCATATCATTGGCTATTGTTCCTAGCAAAAAAATAACTATATGCATACAATGGAACCTTGATTTAATGAACCTCTATTTAACAAAGTCCCAGGTATAATAAATGGTTTTCTTTGCTCCAGTAATTGTAAATTATATCCAAAAGAATCCCAATATAGCAAACATATTTTGCCAGTCCATTGGCCCTTCATTATATCGAGTTTCAACTGTATAAATAATTATAAAAATCAGGGTCAGCCAGCATTTTGGGGTACAGGGTATACAGGGGGATTTTAATTTGAGTATATGGTATTTTGATGCCAAAATTGGGCCTTTTATGGGTATAAAGTATACCTTGTTCTTTCCAAATAATTTGGTATTTCACATATCTGACTGTATTCACAAAAACATGCCCGCATTGATTCAAGGGCAGTCCCACTGGCCAGAAGTCATCTCACCGCCCCTCTGACCAGGAGGTTAGCTTGTCATGCATGCACATGGCATGGACCACTCCAGCAGGGTGCCATATCAAGACAGAACCCTCCAACAAGGTTCATCAACTGAGTAAAATACCCAGAAACACAGTCAATATCAAGGTTATTTAACACTGAAAACTCTCCCTCCCCTCCCCCTGCTTTTGACAGCTGGCTGCCAGCAAACCACCAGCAAATAGGGCAGTGCCTGGCGCATGTGGCCAGCCTGGCTGTGATGGAGCCCCCCTCCCCCCTTCCCCGGGGTTTAAAGTCGCTAGCTTAGCCTGGATTAGGACTGCACCTGAATCCAGGCAATTAAACCTAGTGGGCATGTTTTTGCAACATTGCCCAAATATATATGAGGGGAAATTTTGGGTATAATGGGTTTTTCATTTCAGGTATATTGGTATTCCACTACCCCACATGGCCAAACTTGAATAATTTTTGGGGTGATGCAGTTCTGTTCTTGATCACTTCCTGGAATGAAGCACTCGATGTGTCAGTTGTGGAATGACTCAAGAGATGTGGACCCTCTTGCCGATCAGTAAACTGGGAGCTAATGACTCCCTTCTTAAGGGTCCAGTCTTTGTGTACAACTGGACAGCAGTACCTCCAGGATCTTGAATACATGCTATGTGATACTGCTGCTCTTTCCAGATCTGCTCAATAGTTCCACTGCATGCCCATAGTATCCTTCCCCTTATCTGAAGTTATGCCCCGAGTGGAAACATCCTCTTTTAGCACACTCCAAAGCGCGAAGTTCGGATCCTTTCGCTGCATTTTACCTTTGAAGGTCTTTGCCATCTCACGCGAAAACACAGCCAGACAGCCGAGACATGAAGGTACAGGGTACAGAGCATGAGACTCGAAAGAACAACCAACAGCAAAGCGGCGCATCTTGGTTGTTCCATGTTAGTCCAACGTTGGATAAAATTCTCCTTCTCTAATTGGCTTACCTTGTGCTTAAATAGTGGATCCAGCTATTTGATTGGTTCAAAGTGTGCTAACATTGTGCTTAAATTGTGCTTAATTTGATTGCGCTAACATCTGAGGAAATAGTTAGCAAAATCGTGAAGCGTTCCAATTTCTTTTTCACTTTTGCAACGATGTAAGATTTATCTCGACATAACCTGTCGATCTGATCAGAGCAAATCTGAGGCACACTGCTTTAATCAGAGCATTTTCCAGACCATAATCAATCTCATGTGTGTATTATAGTCTAAAACTCCGATTTCTTGCCACTTGACATCAAAATTTCGAAAAAATAGTTGAAAAAACTTCAAACACGAAAAGCGCTGTGATCTCACACGAGCGCCCACGCTCGAGAATTAGTGCGTGAGAGCTTCCGCGCGCTAACCACAACTCACGCGTGACTTGACAATCGAACAATCGATCAATCGATCACGCACCCCCGGGTCACGCACTTCCCGTAGATCGAAGGTTTCTTGCTTTTCACATGATAGTGCTTCAAAATTTTCCTCTGAACACGATAGAGGTTGCTATGACTACAAACTATGAATTTAACGCTACCAACCTCAAGAAAATATAACTCACGGCAGCGCGGGGAGAAAAGTTTGAATTGAGCCCAACGGAATCTCAGCTGTTTCGCGTTCCTCTGACCTTCTCTCGCTGGTTAAAACGCGAGTCGCGTCTTTGGCGCTAAAGTTGTCGTGTCTTGCGCGCACGCCACATTTACGCGCGAATAGTGGATGAAAAAGAGAACGCGTAACGAGTATCATGTTGTCCGCGAACGCGGTTCCGCCACACTCGAGACTCCAAGTTATCTGGTTTATTAACTTCAATGTTCATTTCCTTTGGTATACACCTTGGTGCATCTATGAATCACTGTACTCATATTGTCCCATATTCGACTAGTCATGCCGAATCACTTCAGCTAACCTGCAGCGCAGAACAGGCGGATTAGCTGTTCTACGGGCTAAATGTGAAAAAGCAATAAATCTTCGACTCACGGTAAGAGCGTTATCCAATGATCGATTATAACGCAACGCACTCACGTAGTATTGCGGCAATGTTAGCACAAATGAAGCACAGTTTGAACCAATCAAATGACTAGATTTACCAATTTAAGCACACGGCTGGATTCCTCAATCTCAGCCTTTCGTTGTTCCAACAATCGCCCAATGAGAACCTTTCGTTGTTCCAAGATTCAGATGTTCGCTGCGTGTTGTTTTGGAAGCCATTTTGATTCATAATTTCGAAACTTCAACAACTAGCTAGCCGTGTTTTGAGCTGAGATCTCACATTTTCGCGCCCGATTCCTGAGAAATATACAGAGTAGAGTTGTGGAAAGTGGTTGAGATGGATGTCAATTGCAAGTTTCGTTGAAGCCGAGAATCAGGCAACATTTGCCGATTGTGCTCTTGATGTTCCTTCGATGAGTACATGTGACCGCGGCGCCTTGTAAATTTCCACATCCCTTGCCGATCTACGCTGTTTATATCTGCAGTATCTGGGATCGCTTCAAATACCTCCCGATCTAGCTCTAGTGCCTCTATTATACCGTATTATAGCGTTGCTATGTCTTCCTTTCGATACCATAAAATATCAGCTTGGTCTCAGTAACGCTTGAGTGAGACACATGACAGTGCACTGGGCCACTCTTGTAGTCGATGTGTGAAATTTACAGACTGCAGACTACAAATAGGCCTAAATAGCACCATTTTTTTCTTTCTTTTCCCTTTTCCTTTTTTTTTTTTTT